GCAGATAAATTACTCACTGTCTACACACACCTTACATTATTCTCACGTTGTGAGCGTCTTATATATATACCAGACAAATATATATCTAGTAAATGCTAGGGCATTCACGAAGGTACAAGATACTTCTAGAAAATAGGTGGCGTCAAAATAGTCACGTGATCTCGCTGACGCAACAATACTAAAGAAGAGGCAGTGTTACAACAGCGGAAGCCACATGACGCTGGTAACACGTCATGAGATTCTCGAAGGATTGTGACTGTTCCTGGCAACTCCAGTCTTTTCCAGGCGCCCTCTATTTTAGTATATAAGCTCGGCAAATAATTGCAGATGAGGAGATATAGAGACAGATAATTGAGTCAAGCAGCGGTAGTGACCGTAAGTAAAGTGCGTGAATCGTGTGTGTGTATTGCAAAGTTGTATTGAGAAAGAATAAACTAGTTTTGATTAAGAAAGGACTTGTATCGCTAAAGTTTCCCGGAAAGAATTTCTACGGGAAATTAACAAACAAGCAGGTACGCAACAATAGTATTACTACCTCGCTCAACCAAAAACATTAACACTTTTATGACAGTGGGAGTCATAATGTAGGGAAAATATAAAAATCTTAAAAGATTAAATTCTGATATCCCAGATGGGGGCTGCTAGGGCGGATAGAGCTCTACAATGGGAGTTTTCTTCAACGCCACCCCAGTGTACACGTCCCAATGTGTTTGCTAATATAATTAATTAAATATTCAGAAAATCATTGTTGGAGGTATTTTATCGTAAAGCAGCTATATATGCAAGGTCATGGAGCTTTCAGATTATGATAAACATTTCATTTCATATAAAGTGTTCCATATGAAAGATATAATTATAATCCCATCAGTCAACATTTAAATCTACAAGAAAGCAGCATGGGAAATAGTGTGGATTTGAAGTATGGGGGTGACGCTCTCTCTCTGCACATGAAGTAATGGGTGAAAGCTCCCTCTCAACCTCACGGGGCTATAACACTGTATATAGATAAAACAAGTTATTCTTTTTCCACATTTTGTTTATAGATTATACATATATAATTTCCAGCTTACTTTTTATTGTAATTAGCTTATAATAACTCAACTAACGTGAAAACCTGGAGCTGAATGTCAAAGGAGTGTATGTATATTATTTAGTTTTTGTAAAGAACTTTGATAAGATTTAATGATATTCATTGTTCATCACTTCTTTTAGATCACTTTGAACAGATTCTATTATTACAACTAATAAAAGTGCTGTGGCTTCTGCCATGGGTTGCCACATCATCATTACTAAATTCAGAAGAATGATATATGTATATAATTTTGGTCAGTTAAATATATATTATTCATAACTATTTTTCTCTGAGTGTTAAATTCAAACCATTATAGAGTGACCCGTAAAAGAAGTGGTCGTTCGATAGCTGTGAATCTAATATATTAGCCGTTATCAAAGTACCATTTTTAGCTACGTTTTTTTATCTTTACAACAATAATAACTATAACATAATGAAACAATTGTGAGAGCTTATCACTAGCATCTCAGGTTTATACAACCCATTTGGCTATAGCGGCTAGTACTCTGGCTGTAACGTATAAAATATCAAGTTTACCAAGCCATAAATGAAGACAGATGAGCAAGCAATAAACTAGCTTATTTTCAAAACAGAACCACTTTTGAAAAATTAACTACAAAGAAAATACATTGAGCCGACTCGCTCAATGGTTGCCAACTTATCCAAAACATGGCAGATCCACTATGTTTTATAATATAGCGTGCATTTAAAAAACATGCAATGATTTTCTCCATCGAGCAAGATTTCATCATAGCAGAGCCAATTAAAATATATCAAATGATATACAATTGAATGTAGTATTGAAGTATTTGTATTATCTTATCAAAATAATTACAGCTTAACATTCACGACGTCCGGAGACAACAGAAATAGCAAAAGTGAAAATTGACATATCAACAATTTTTTGAAGAAGTTTCACAATCTTTGCTTTGAAGTAGATTTCATTAACAAATATAAATTACAAAAATGTTATAGTAAAATTTAATTTTGAATAAAAGAGTTTCCTATGTTTTATTTATTCTTTAAGCTTTTCTTAATTTGTGAACATCAGAACTTTTAGTGTGTCACCAATGATATGAACGCAATCTAACCTTAATTATTAAATTTCATAAAAACTTTTATTAGATTTAACTAATTTGCATTTTTACAATGCAGTCATAATTTACCAAAACCTTAACAAATTAATAAAAATGTATATGCGTGCAGAAAGAATAAGTAACTATGTTATCTTAATTTATGAAGACAGAAAATTGCCTAGTTGTTAGTGTAGCCGGACTGCGAATCCAAGAATTCAACATTTGCAACCTCTTTCCTCAAAATTGCACTCTCCACTTTGGGGCTGTGAGTGAACTGTAAGAATAACTGTCAAATCCCAATATTTAGTCAGACAAGAGTAGTTCAAGAGTTGATGGTGAATGCTGTTGATTAGCTGCCTTTTCTCTAGTCTATCACTTAAAAAACAGGGACAGCAATGTGCAAATAGTCCTTGTGTCCTTTCAGCATCTTTGAACCAAATAAGCCATATTTCATGGACGATTACGTGATACAGTGCTGTAAGGGTGATCTTGTAGCGTATCGCAACTTGAAATGGCAGAACAGGATTACAGAAATTATAAAATAAACATCCATATCTATTTTATGAATAAGCCACAGATTTAAACTGTTTTTATGCATGGAAAGTATTTCGAAGTCATATTAAATGTAAAAAACCTGAGTGTGATGCATTCTTACAATTATTTCTTCCTTTCTGTAAGCATCAGAAAAGTCCGGATATCCACAATGCAGGTAGATATCAATGGCTCAATTCACATACAAATGCACTTTAGGTATCATGATGAACTACCGAAGCAGGAATTATTTTCTTTTCTTCTCATATCGTTTACTCCAAAAAACTGTGTTTTGTGGAGCCATAGCAATTCACATATTGATCGGCTTCCAAAGATAATAGCTTACTCTCTAATGTTTTTGTTTTTGAGGATTCTTAGCGATGAGATGCTTATTTCTAAATAAAAAATTTTTAATTTATTTTCTGTCTATAATTCTTTTACTTTCAGTTTTGTTACTAGGTGGCAGAATTATAAGCATAAACAAGATGGCGGCTTCCTCGTCAAGTAGTTCGAAAGATAAAGATATGAAAACGTTGATTGAACAGTTTTGTGCCATAACAGGTTTGTGACGTAATTTAATTTAGTTAACGTTTTTTGTAGTTTTTAAAATGTAAAAGTGTTTGATATAGCTCAAGAAATATTTGCATCAAAAGCTTGTTTACCATGTTACAGCCGTGACTCGTAAACGCCAACGGTAAAGAGTAATCAAAATTAAATTATCAATGTACTTCATTATTAATATTATAAATTATAATTATTATGTTATACTAACTTTGGGAGTTTTATACATCACCAGCAAATATCACCTAATATATATACATATTGACAATCTGATATAATAATAAACCTTCATTGGTACATTGGTACCTTCATTCTGTCAAGAAATATTTATATCAAAAGCTTGTTTACCATGTTACAGCCGTGACTCGTAAACGCCAACGGTAAATAGTAATCAAAACTAAATCATCAATGTACTTCATTATTAATATTAAAAATTATTAATATTATGTTATACTAACTTTGGGAGTTTTATACATCACCATCAAATAGCACCTAATTTATATATATATATATATATTTACAATCTGATATTATAATAATAAACCTTCATTGGTACTATGGTAGTGTAGGTTGGGTACGAACTTGTTTGCATCTACTCTAACAGTTACTGATTTAGTTACAAAGCCATCCCAAAAGTCAACGTTGCTGAAGTTTTTTCGTTACAAAGTCATCGTTATACGTTTCAGTTTGTTTTTGTTGTTTTTTTGTGTGGAGAATGTAGTAACTGTACCAGTTACAAGTTGTGTGAAATACTATCATATAATATATCTTAAGAAAATTTTGCTTGAGTTTAATGTTGAAAATAATTTAGTTCAAAATTTGCAAGCTTCAAATGTAGGCAGTTGTATAGATGACATTTATTTACTTTTTGTGCATAATCTGAAGATGATACAGTTAGCCACATGTGATGTAGATATGTCTTAGCAAATTATGCATGAGTTTATTTTTGGATGAATATTTTTAAAAAGTTTCAAACATTGAAACATAGGTCATTGTTATATTTGAGATTTTTTTTAATGGAGAATCTTGAGACTGTAACTAAAAAAAAAAGTTTTTAAAAAGTTTCAAACATTGAAACATAGGTCATTGTTATATTTGACATTTTTTTTAATGGAGAATCTCGAGACTGTACTAGTTGTTAGCCATATGCAACATAATTAGTTATGTTTAAAGAAAATTATGTATGATTTTGTTTTTGGAAAAATATTTAGTTCAAAAGTAGGTATAGAAACAAGGTATTTATTATTTGTAAGACATATTTATTTACTTTTTTTATGGAGAATTTGGAGACTGTATCAGTTGTTAATTGTGTATCATACATATGTCTGAAGACAATTATATGTGAGTTTGGTGCTGGAAAAGTATTTTGTTAAAAAATTGCAAATGTTGAAACATAAGTCATTGTTGTATGTGATACATGTTTTTTTTTGTTTTAATAAAGTATCTTTACTAGTTGTTAATCATTTGACATAGTTAGATATGTCCGAAGAAAATTACATTTGAGTTTGGGGTTGGAAAATTATTTAAATCAATAATATTAATAATAATGTTTATAAAGGACATAAAGATAAAAGTGGACAAATCTGCAGATGATTATCTTGGTGGTAGTAAAGATCAAAAGAGTGCCTTTGTTAAATAATGTTGTGTACATCTTTATTATGTTCTCTGTTTTGGCTACTTTAGGCTTTTTCATTTTAATGGTTTTTAGACTTGCATATTTATTATCACCATCATTTTAGGTATTGTAATAAAATATTAAAAACATTTAATTTACTAAGTCATAAAGTCACAAATTTCATAAACAAACTAGTTGAAACAAAGATCTAAGGTGTAATAGCATTGTCAGACAATGTTATGTTGTAATCAGCAATGAAGAATGCTCTTTGGAATAATTATTACCAAAGTATTCATTATTACAGTTAGATAACAATGTTTTTTCAATATAGTAATGGATGTCTGTGTCTTCTAATTTGGAGCTATTAAGATTTTGACATAAGCTTAAAATCTGTTAATTGTACTTCCAGATCACCTTATTAATT